TATTGGTCTTATCGGGATGTTATAGTCATATGTTATAGTCTATAGCCTTCCTCAATAAATGGGCTATCTAACACTGAAATAATTTTTCAAATCGGACCAGTAGTTCCTGAGATTAGCGCGTTCAAACAAACAAACTCTTCCGATTTATAATATTAGTATAGATTTAACGTATTTTTTACGCATAATTAAAAAAAGTTAGCATTCTGCACTCCTTCTCTATATTCTCTATAAGTCTGGGAGATTTCATACTCCTCCGTCCGCGCAATTGTAAAAAGAGGTACAAAATTTTTGCTTCACGTATTAATATATAGATTTCGACGCTACTCGCATCATTACGCACGCCTAAGTACCTTTTTAACAATATATAAAATGCAAGTTGTTACCATGAAGATTAGGCCAAGCTTAGAGCGTTCCATCGCAAGTGTGGAAGATTCCTAAGCCAGTAAGTCGCGGGTGCTGCGCCTAATATAATATACGACACACGATTCAGCCGCTACTGTATTAGATTTACTGCTCTCTGATTATTTACAGATTGTAGGGTAGACAGAGAATGCATTCGTTCACATTCAGACGCTATTAGTCTGCACCAGGCTTCAACCGTGCTGTTTTTTAAAGCTGTGCTCTCCGTGAAAAATTCATCACGATTTTTGATATGTGTATCGTTCTGTTACTAAATACACATCTTATCGAGATGTTAGTCTGTGATTGGAAGCAATTTTTAGTAAAAATTCAGAAGTTCAGCTATGAATAAACCATACTCACATCCACCTACTGATAAGTGTTTTCCAAAGTCTAGAACCTACACAAAACTCTTAACATATTCGGACAAAGTGTAAACGTTTTCAATCATATTAATTTTCTCATCTCTAATACAGAAGACGTGGTTTCTTCGCTGTAAAAAGAGGGATGACAGTGGTTTTTTTAATTTTTTTATTGCCCTTGCTTGCATACGAGCGTACGGCCCACCGGATGGTGAGTGGTTACCGTCCCTTATGGACTTCAGTAATGCCAGGGGCAGAGCCTAGCCGCTGCCTACCGTAAACCATACAATTAACAGGGATGAGCTTTAAATCCATGAGCTTTCTCTGTTCCTTAACTAGTCTATGCCTGGTACAACACTTGCACATTACATTGCGCAGCGCTTATGTAACTCTCGCTAATCAGTTACACGTATATTATTCAAAGCCGGTTTTCTGTTTAAGTTTACTGTACCTAGTCGTAGGGCGTGTTGTGAGTCTCTACGAGTTTGTACGGTACCACCTTCTTAGCTAATTCCGCTACAAAGACCCTTATTTCAATGTACTTGAGTCTTTAACTTCATGCCTTAATGCAGCGTATTTACGTCATAGCATTTATGGACTCCAGTATTGTCATAACATCAGGTAGGCGGTGAGTTTGTTTTCATTTGCTTTTTAAATCTTGAGTACAGATACACTATTCACGTGCCAAATGGCTGTCACTTTCTTTAATTAGCACCTGTAAATTCAAAAATATCTCGTCTGTTATAAATTTCATACGGCTTCAAACACTTTAGCTAAACAGAAAATCAGAAAATATTAGCTACACGTGACCAGTCTCGCACCCGGACCGGTATTTACTATGCTCAATACCACTAAGCCGTAATGGCACGTCTCTGTTTAATGAATAGACGAACTCTACGACGTAGCGCTACGCCGCGGGTCCGTTCTACGTTCGTAGACGGTCTACGAGGACCTAGCAACGGGAGTAGATTTCAACGCGTGTAGTGAGAGAGTGAGTTATATTTATAGGGTTTACCCTGCAATCCTTCCAACGGCCTGTGGCGGGTAGCCATCATACAATGCAAGTTATTTGACAGATGCCTGAATCTCGCTTACGACATTTTCAAGATAAGCTTGTATATATACAAGTTCCGAACAACAACATTCGGACCGTCGGTCTACCGGTGGAAGATCTTCCCTTTGTCGTATATTTTCCCAGAGGCCTTTTCAAACCCCCATGAAAAAAAAAGTTGCGGTTTGAAGAGACTGATGTTTTTTTTTTTGCCCTTGTAGGCATACGAACATACGGCACACCTGATGGTGAGTGGTTACCGTCGCCCATGGACTTCAGCAATGCCAGGGGCAGAGCCAAGCCGCTGCCTGCCGCTTAATACTCTCCACAAGCCTCGTTTGAAGAAAGACATGTCATAGCGCTCGGGAGGAGCGTGGAGGGGAGGAGCGAGGAACATCGTGGAGGGGAGCTCATTCCATAGCCGGATGGTTCGTGGCAAAAAAGATATCTGGAAACGCACTGTGGATGACCGCAGCGGCTCCAGGTAGTATGGATGAACTCTACTCCGGTGGTGGACGGTGCGATGGTAAAAATGAGATGCCGGTATCATCTCGAACAATTCCTCAGAGCACTCCCCATGGAACATACGGATCGTTATTGAATGTAGTTGAAATTCTTACGTCACGTTTCAATGTGAGCGTTGACATCCACGTCGTTGTCCATGGGCTCATATCAAAAGCAAGTGAGCCGTGAGCTAACTACGTAACGAAATAAAAGGTGGGTACGCATAAAGTGAAGCTTTTGGCCAAACCATTCCGAAAACTTGATAATGTTTTATCATGAGCTTTTAAAATGCTATAGATAGATACATGTGTGTTGTTTGTGTGCCCGTTGACTATGCCAAAAGTTTGTAACACTTTCTAAGTTGTCTCATAAGCTTGTCTATATCAAGTTAGATCGAATGTAGTTTACAAACTTATTTTTAAGTTAGTGAAGATTTTAACTTTTTTTATATCTAAATATACAAAAATTGAAAACTCATTGAGGAGTATTCTCACACTCTACTCCTCAATGAGAATGTTAAAAAAACATGAATCGGTAGTTTTTATTGCTTAGATGGGTAGACGAACTCACAGCTCACCTGATGTTAAGTGGTTACTCGAGCCCATAGACATCTACAACGTAAATGCACCACCCATTTTGAGATATAAGTTCTAAGGTCTCAGCATATTACAACGGCTAACCCACCTTTCAAACTGAAACGCATTACTGCTTCACGGCAGAAATAAACAGGGTGGGGGTACCTACCCGTGCGGACTCACAAGAGGTCCTCCTACCACCAGTAATTATGTAAATTATAATTTTGCGGGTTTTGATTTTTATTACACGACGTTATTCCTTCACCGTGGAAGTCAATCGTGAACATTTGTTAAGTACGTATTTCATTAGAAAAATTAGTATCGGATGTCTTATTCTTTAGGCCACGACCGCTTGCTAACTATTTAAAGGCTCCGGTAACTACTTAACACCACGTGGGTTGTGAGCACATCTAGCCACATAAACAAAAAAGAAAACAATTTAGACAGATGACGACCACGTCCACCAGACACGTGGACGTGGGAATAATAACGAATTAGCGCAAATGGGCTGATGGCTGAATAAATCTAATAAGTGGTCAATATACAGGGTGTGTATTTCTATGGGCATCACTAAGTATATACATTTTGTTGGCTTGTCAATCTGACGGTGGCAATATAATAAAGAGCTTAAAGATTTTGGAGACGTCTTAATGGAATCATATGGCGTATTTTTTTTTATTTGCTTTTGTCATTATTTTTATTTGTATAATTTGATTCAAGTAGCAGGCACTCTTAGACCATTGTAACTACTGAAGAATTCACCTCTGGTAATCTTGAACACAACGTGGATTAAAAAAATTGTTCATTACTATTAACTACACGGATAGACCATTTAAAAAAAATACGAATGTAGTTTTCAGAACGTTTTCTGTCCGTTTTTGAATTCGCGGTCTTTCAATTGAGTTTTACGGCTAATGATAACGCTGGGGTACTCGCGCATTACTTTCATTAACACTATTCGTATCGAATCGATGACCTTTGTCTGTCAAACCTAACCCTATAACAAATAGTCAAGGGCAAGAAAAAATCTAAAAATTATCTTAAAAACAATCTAAAAGTGCCCGAAAACTCGGCCCAGTTCCGCCCAATTCGTGTTCACATCTCACGCACACACTCGCAGCTCTAATGTGACATTTATAGACGAGTCAGCTGAAAAATAATATGCAGTTCAATTACGACTCTATACGTTCAGATTTAAAGTCAAAATTAGCAAGAGAAGACGTGAATAAATTAGGATATTTCTTAAGTCGAACTGTGTACTTGAACATTGATAAATACGTCCAAATTTAGGTTTTATGCCATTTAGCATAAAGGTGGTTATGCCATATACGATGCGAAAAGATAAGTCATGTATGTGTTCCGAATTTGAAAGAGTTTCCCGAGCGTGCCCGAGCTTGTACCGATCGGGTCCGAGCGGCGCCGAGACGCAGCAAGTGCCGAATGCATTACGGCGTACTATAGGGCTGACACCGAGGTTGCTTTTATATTTTATAATGTAGCGTTTATAAATTCGGTTACGACTATTGCTGGATAATTAGCAAAGAAAAAAACGTAGTAGATTCAACGTGTATTTAGTTCATTTTTAAATTCTTATGTAGACGAAAAGTTATTTTTATATGAGTGGCGAGCTTTCCTGTTTTTATTAATTTTGATAGGTAGACTAGCAGAACAGTTTTCATGGTTAATTCATCTTAGTATCGGGGGTGTTTAAGCTTGTTTATGTATGTATTACAAAATAATTTTGCTTGTTTGTGTTGTGACTAAAGTCGCTTTCACAGTTTCACATAGTATAAAGCTAAAAATGTTAAGTTTTGTTTGCCACCTAGTTTTTTATGCGTAAGAGGTGTATAGAATTTCATTTTGGGTTTTTATTAATTCGAATTGTGAAAGTATCAATTATTAAACTGAAATACAAAATTGCATAATATTTTCCAATAAATTTCAATTATGACATGCGTGAATGTGTGTGCGTAGGATATGCTAAGCACACAGTTACAATTGTCACATTTATACATGTACGTATGTGCGTGTAGTGATGGTTGTGGTGTGTGTGACATCCCTGAGCGAGGGCGGGCAGCGGGCGGCTCGAGGCGGCAGTGTGACGCGGGGCGCCGCGTCGGCCGCACGCGACATGCGCCCCCTCTAGCGGACTATGTTCCTACCCGAGCTGCCGCGAGCCTGCATGGTGGACGACGTAGCGACCTACTTGCAAGCGCCCTCCTCGGGACAGGTGGCTACAATTATTAACAACAAAACCCATATGTAATTAACAATGATCATATTAACAGATGTTGTGAGCTATGGTGTCGCTTGTGCGCGTCAGCCGCCCGGGTATTTTGGGGACGTTTCATTCTGCCGACGATCGAAAGCGGATCGCGTGCCGTGAGATTTTCTCCAATATTTACAGATTATTTTTCCTAATCTTTGACACGTGCTCTTCGGAAGTGAGGTTAGGTTAGTGGGAGAAGGGGTCCGGGAGTGTATGTGTGGTGTAAACAGATCGATAGAAGTCCAAGTAAACAGCGGTGACAGTTGAGCACTCTCCGGCTCCCGTACTCCACGGTTAATGGTTAAAGTAAGAATTGGCTGCGAGTTCGATGTCCCAACTACAAAATTTTACGATCTAAGTTTTTTTTATTTCCTTTATATGTCATTGCTATTTATTGCAATAGTTAAAGCGAAAATTCTACGGGAATCGATTGAGACAAAATACACACATACATTTTATATCTACGTTTGAAAACTTCTAAGTTACGTATGACACAAAATTTCGATTTAAATCTCAATTAATCAATTTTATTATTCTAATTGAATTAACGAATATTAATAATACAAACTACATTTATTCATTAAAATTTTAATATATTTTTCAAATCCCACACATACATAATTTTGTTTCAAGTTAGTATCAAATCGTAAAGATATAATTAAAAATAAATAAAACGTTTCAAAAAAATGAAAAATGAGTTAAGACAAAATCAAAAAAAAAAGAAAATCAAAGAATTTAAAAGTAATTAAAATATAAAATGAGATTTAAAATATAGTAATTACATTTGCACAGTTAGGAATACGGTAGCTCCATACAAATATAAACGAGCACGCTCCATATAATCTTATTACGTTACAGCGTCACAGTAACGTTATTACTAACTAAAGTTTTATTAGTAAAAGGGCGATAAGATTTATATAATGGCGTTGTGGATGGCAATCGATATGGGAACGAAGATGTGGGACTGCAGGGGAAATACGGCATAGCGTAGCATAACGCCCATTCATATCTGCAGTTTTGTGCTTTTTGCTAATGGAACGCCTCGGATTCGAACATCGAAAAAAGCACTTTCATAACACATCCTACTAGGAATAGGAATTTGTTCATCTAGGAATATCATTTTAGTGGATTAGTTATTTTTTTAATTACTTTCACCAATCAATAGTATTTTTTGTTGAATAAAATTTAATTTTTTTTCTTTATTAATTAATATTAAAATATAAATACAATTTCATTTGATAATCAATTAATTTGAATTATAACTATTTTATATTTACGTCTCTACCGTTATGTAGCGCTCATAAATGTTAAATAGACCTTATTCTAAGCGAGATCGAAAAATACGTAAATAATAAAACGGTTAATGTTAATCATTTTTTAATTAATAACAAACTATGTTGCTTACTATTTTTTATTGCAAAGCTCCGTGAACGAGCTTACGGTCCGTCTGATCTGAGTTGTCAATCAGTTAGAGAAATAGAGTTAAAATCTCAGTTTAATAGTATAAATGTTCCATAGTTCGGACTGGAACGCACGAATGCTTCGTAGCAGAAATAGGTAGGATGGTATTACCAATCCGTGCGGGCTCATAATACGCTCTATTAAGCATGATGTTCAAATATTTAGTCGATGAAAAATCAAAGTTAGTTAATCCTATCTAATTCTAAACAGTAAAGTCTCATCTGTCCACGGAAACGGAACGGTCAATTTTACTTCAAACACAATGCCAACAACGATTGCCGCCAGAGAGCAACCCTCGCCAACCCTCACCAACCCCTGCCAACGCTAGCTCAGCGCGGCCAACGGAACCGGAACAACAACCATCGCTAGATAACTGGAATTCCTAATTTAATTTCGCAGCAAGAACTGCATTCGGTCTGCGAAAATTGTGTTTCCTTTAATGGGTAGTGCAGTGCTGTTACAAAATATCTACGACGGGCCAATATAGGGATGACCTGGGCTAAACTAAAGTGAATCGAAATTATAATTATTGTTTAATTATTAGCATGATCGCTGATATACAGGTCATCGAGATAATGAAAGATTTATTTTTATAAAAAACACGGCTTAGAAAGTGTAAGATACTTTGGGCGATCGTAATAATGATTTTGAGTTAAAACCTATCTCCCCTGAATTCTATTGGAGCACATAAAAATATTTTTCAATTACCTCGTCTCAAGATAAGGTCTCCATTTTGTATCAGGAATACTCGTACGTATCTCTGATTGTATGTAATAAAAAACGATCTAATAGAAAGAAGTTTAACATTATTTTCCCAAACGTTTCCTGACATACAAACAAGCGTCTCTAGTCCGTTGTCAGTGTTAATGTACTTAAAATATTTTGGGACGCCAATAAAACGTTACATTCGCCGGTTTTAAAACTATAAAAATTGTGAAATAGGGACATTTTAAATCGGCACGAAATATATATTATTGCGTTGGTCGCTGTGGGCAGACGCTTGGGACGTGTGCTTTTTTCGATGTTAATATTTTGGTGGAGTCCGCTATTTTTATAAGATTATAATATTAATAATAATATCAATATCAGTCAGAATTTCCTGGCGTTGACTTTCAATAAGTAGTACTTTGTTAATTGCTTCCGAGATAAGAGTATTTTTCATTCTGGATCTAATAATGAATCATAATAGTTTTTTAAAATCAGATAATATCAGAAAAATATAAAAGATTAAAAACGTTTAGATCTGTTTTGTTTAATCAACTTAATTTAACTAATTTATACAACATTAGTTATTTTCTATTCATGATTATGCCATCAAATATAATATACAATAAATAAAGAACGTTATACAAATAAAAACCTAAACCATAGGTAATCACATAACACACACACACATTATGATTTTGTTTGATTAATGACATAAAAAAAACCATTTTGGAGTGTAATCTAAATTGTTCACATAAAATACATTTGTTAAAATCGTGTCCACATTTTAGTGTGTAATCAATGTTAGTAATATTGTGTCCGAAAAATACCCGGGGGGCCGCTGCGATCCGCGTCGCATCCGTGTTACAAACTCTATACAATGTCTATCCCTCGTGTCTTCCTTCACACCTTTTTCTTGCCACTCGGTGTTTGAATGTTTTTCACTAACTGTTAATGTTGATATTTAATCGTATATAATTGTTGTTAGTTCCTTATTGTTCGTGTGATTTTTTTTGTATTCGTGTGAATAAGTGCATTGAATTATTTGTTTTGCGGTTTTTTACGTTGCACTCTTAAATACATTTTTAAATGGAGATTAGTCTTTTTGAATATTAAATTAATGATTTAATTATATTTACACTCGTAATTAAATTATAAAAATACATTTAAATTCACACATCAATGATTGTACATAATATGTATATTTTTATTATTTTATTTGCAGTTGTGTCATCTTTTGTATTTTTTATCACACTTATGTGTAATTATAAAAACGTAAACATTATGATTTAATAAACGAATAAAATTAAAAGATGGCACGTGAAATATTTAATTTTATACAATCAAGAAAAATGGGAATATGACTTATTTGAAGTTATCAATTAGATAATAATTTTTTTTAGTAATCCCTAAATATAATTACAGCTTAAAATTAGTATAAGTAATCTGTAATTAAATAGACTTCGTGTTTCCTCCCGTTTTTCTCTGATATTTGTGTACGCCCGGTGTATATGTGCATGACTCCTGAATGCACCCCCGCAAGAATGTAATGCACGTTCTCGTTATTTGATTTTATGTTAATTCGTAATCAATTTTTTTAATTTCAATACGCAATCTCTGCAACTCCATCAGTGCAATGGATTTTTGGAAATTGGTGTATTTTTATTTATTTACCTTTTCAAAATCTTCTCAGTGTCTATGTTATCAGCCGCTAAAATACTTTTTGTTCCACGTTCGTTTAGTCCTTGTTTCTGTTTCCTTGCTCTGATATTTAACATTAAGTACATTCAAATCCGTACAGAGCGTCTCGTAATCAATAATTCCAGCAATGAAATCTGTATGTTATGGTTTTGTTTTTTAAAAACTTATTGGGATTACTGTAACAAAAAGTATTTTAACGTACAATTGAATGTCTGTAAAGTAAAGCCTGAGTATACAATATTAAATACTCTATTCTGATTACAACTGACAACAACAGAAATTAAGATACGTTTAATTATATTACAATACATTTGTGATTTAATTGAGTATCGTTTAATTATTATGCTAATTCCAAAATATTTAGTAATAAAGGATATTTACAATAATTTTTCAATGGTTTTGAATTTCTTTCAGATGAGAGTATTTAATCTGAGTGTCTGTTTATTAATACTTTTGCAGCTACAATATTTCAGTATGTGTGTGTCTATTATTAGGTTACTTAGTTGTCAAACTAATGATTAATTTTCTATGGTTTTTTTATTAAAATTTAAAATAATCGCTCTAGAGGGTTTTTAAAATTATATAGAAAAAGTGGGATTAAGTCAAAATTTAGATTTTTTTTTGAGGAAAGATTTGATTACAATTTTTCAAAGCGATTATATTATTTTTTTGCATAAAAAATATCTGTTTAATTCGGGAGTGTAAAAATAAAATTGGTGTTCAAGTATCAACACAAGCACGACCTTTCAGTAAATTTATAAATTCGTTTAGTTCGATATTTAGCTGTTTTGTGAAGCCAATATTGAGTTATCAGGTACTTTGTAGAAGGTACCTTGAGTATTGTTAGGAAGTTTAGTTCTCTGTTCGACACCTTTAAGGGTTTATTTTTAAGAATGTTAGTGGCAGGTCCGGCGGTCGATGCAACAGTAAGTGTATACTTGGATTAATTACAGGTATGTGTTTTTTTTGTCTTATTTGAGATCAACAAGCTGAAGTTCTTTCGTCGCGTCACTGAAATGTATCCATTAAGTTATTTTCACATTGTAACATTATTTATCGTGTTAAGGGATGAAAGTGCTCACGGCTCGATGCTA